GGGGCATTGGGCTGTGTGTGTGAATGTGTGTGTGTGTTGGTGGTGGTGGTGGGGGGATTGGTAGACACCGCAGTTATGTGACAGGAATAATATGCCGGCGGGATAAGCGAAGTGGCCGTCATTTCCCGAGCTGGCCTGCGTCAGTCCTCGGGATTGAGGGACATTGAAAAAGCGAGACAAAACAATGGCACTGGTGGAGCGGGACGCCACTTCGGCAAAAGACTGACAGGGACTCTAAACGGGGGCTCTCGACAGCATCCAATTTATCCAAAAGAACAAGTTGGCCCGTGGTGGGGATTCCCAACGTGTGGGGCGAGGATGGTAGACCGAAAAGTCATTTTTGTTTGAGAAAAAAAAACAAACAAATTAATATCAAAAAACATAAAACCGACCCCCCCACCCCCAAAAAAAAGAATCTGTTTTGCTTTCTTCGCTAACACACATACACATTTTTGTTAAACAACAACACACGCTAAAAGTGATTTAGCCAAACTACAAAAAGTCTTCTTGATACCCAGCAACACAACTTGACATTTCTTAAAGGGAAACAAATACAAATATTTGGACTATTTTGAAAATGGTGAAACCATTTTTGTTGGGCTCAAATGTAATTAGTTAATACAAAAGAGAAATATATACCTTATACATAACATATCGTGTAACAAACGACTTTCCCAGAGCTCGCTTGCGCCAGTCCTCGGGAGGGAGGGACATTGAAAAGACAAAACGGTGCGATTGCAACGGGACGACACTTCAGCAGACCAACAGGGACTCTAAACAAGGCTCTACAGCATTCCATTTTGTCCAAACCACGATGGAACATGCTGGCCCACATCAGGGACTCCACAAAATAGGCCGCTATCCTACTTACAATTCCCCGCGTCCCCTCGAGGTGGTTTAATCATGACACGTTTTCATTGTCCGATGCATTCATTTGAGAAAATGTAACCTTTAACTCAAAACTTGAATCCAAAAACAGGTGTGACCAAACTATGGTGAGTAAACAGCTCTCCCGGTGGTGTGCAAAATGAAGGGCTCCATTCTCCTGATCAGCACAAGTCTAGTGTGGCTTAATCTGCACAAAAGTGGGCTAAACTTAGTTTTGATGTTTTGCATGTCGCTTGGTGCAGTTTGCGCAGTTGTGGGCGTGAACACGAAACAGCTCTCCCGGTGGTGTGCAAAATGAAGGGCTCCATTCTCCTGATCAGCACAAGTCTAGTGTGGCTTAATCTGCACAAAAGTGGGCTAAGCTTAGTTTTGATGTTTTGCAGACGCGTGTCGCTTGGTGCAGTTTGCGCAGTTGTGGGCGCGAACATAGCTAATTTGATTGTCCCCCAATAGATGCTCTTAGTTGATGCCTTTATTGACGGGACACTCTAAAAACAAGGGACAGACATAACTTTTGGGGTTATGTATTTACAGGCCAACCCAATTTTTTGGGGTGCGCTATTCAGTTTGACCCAACTTTTTGGGTTATATGAATGACGTTTTTTGTTGGGGTTTTACGGTTTTCGAGTCTACACTCTCAAAAATTGCAGCCTAATCGTCTTTATGTGTGTCCCTGTGCCAAGTGTAAACATCAAACTTTGATTGGCGAGAGGCACCATGCGTGTGGCAGAGAAGGGGTGCGCCAACTCTGTCGGGAAGGGGGTACGTGGCTTAAAAAGATAACGCTGTATTTGTGTGTGTGCGTGTGAGGCCTCGGCAGCCCATCCGAAGTCTTCCTCTGTGTGCGTGTGTGTGTTTGTGTGTGTGTGTGTGTTCATGCTTTTACAGGATTTGTGTTGCGAGCTATGCTGCATTACAGTGGTTTATTATGAAAGCGCTCGCTCATCCACACGTGGCTCACTACCTGTGTCGGAAATCTTGGCAGGTTATCAAAACCTGCTTTTTTTTTGTATTTGTTTTCTTTTTTTTTTGTGACACACACACACACACACACACACACACACACACACACACACACACACACACACACACACACACGTGCGCATACTGCAATGTACTTGGCTGCAGCGCATGCATACAAGCGGAGCGAGAGTGAGCGTTAGGATGTAATCAATATCAGATTTCAGCCGCTTCAATGCGAGAGCTCTCATCCTCCCGGGTGGCCGGCGCCCTCCGCTGACTTGTGACTCTTTATGGCAGGGGTGGGTAAAGTGTGGCCCGGGGGCGCACATGCTGCCCACTCCATGCTTCCGTGGGGCCCACCGAGTCCAGCGGCGCCTTAAGATACAAGTGACACGATCCGTCGGAGTCAATCTCCAATGAAGAGAATTGCACCGTGTATTTAAAATAACCAAATCTAAACCCGGTGTAGCAGCACATGTGGACGGGCAATATCAACATAAGATATTTCCGTTGACGGCGCCGCTGTGAATATTTGTACGAGAGTTGATAAATGAGATTGAATTCTTTTGTAACAGACTACTGTGCATGTATTCGCTTATTGATTTTCTCATGAAGTCATTGGTGGACTGATTTATTATCAATTAAAATCATAAAAGCGTAAGAAAATGTACGTCACATTTTAAAAACATTTCAATGGGCATTGGCAGATACTATGTTATTTATGTTAGAAATATCTTTTATCTTTTAATCTTTTTTTTTTTTTGTCAATTTGAACTTCTTGAACGACCTGGCACCAACGTTAATATAGTTGACAATTGGAAAAACGTTTTCATGGGGAAAAAAAAAAAAAGAACACACCGAACTGAAACTACTTGACGTTTGTATAACAATGATACAAATAAGTATAATTGCAGCAAAAATGTCCTACGTTTTCATCTTTGTCTATTAATATGAGCTTTGGGGGGGTTGATTTTAAATGTATTTATTTCACTATTGTCGTACATCTGGAGAGAAGAAGGAAGGTCCAAGGTTATTTGAGTGTTGTCGTTGACTTTATGACACAATACTTTTACTTGCACTCCGCGAATAGTGAATGTATGCAACACCAATGAAAACAAATCTTTTACGAAAAAATAAAAAAAGTAATACGAGCTAGCAAACTTGCTCTTAAAAACGAACTGGCGTCCAAAAAAGAAAAGTCAAAACGAAATAAAAACTATGAATCGAAAACTATTGTCACCCTGCCTGCCACCAGCTCGGTCCTTTCCCTCCGTGCCCCCCACAACCCCTCCATGTCCCCACCAATCCAACCCTTGTTTTTCCTGGTCGTAATCATCTCTGTGATTGCTCTTCCTCTCCCGGGCGCTGATATTTCCACCGTTGCCGCCTGGTCCGACCCCCCCCTCCCCCCTGCAACCCCACCCCACGCTAGATTATTGCTGTATGATTACAGCCGCCGCGCCATCAGGATCATTATTGCATTTCGCGTGACAGTGCTCGACGCCGTCTGCGAGCGTCGAGATGCTTTATCCAATTTAGATCTCATTAAGACTTGAGAGCAAAGATGCCCCCGCAAAGACTCGAGCGTCTCCGCAGTGTTTTCGTGACCGTGACTGAGCACCTTTTTCCTGTTTGTTTTCCACCTGAGTCGGCAAAGCGTCTCTGGAAGCCGCTGTCACTCAACCGCGCCATTCGCGCAACCGCTTTCAAATAAACAAATACGACAAATCAAGGCCGGAGTGAGACCCGTTTTCAGCCCAGCGGTTTCAGAGCTCAGAGCGTTTTTTTGGGGCAGGGGGGAGAAGATCAACAATTTTACCCTTATTAGAGTACAAGAGCAGCCCTACTTTCTTTATTGCCAAAACAATTACCGTATTTTCCGCACTATAAGGCGCACCTAAAAGCATTCCATTTTCTCAAAAGCCGACAGTGCGCTTTTGCAATGATCCAATACATGGATCAATATTCAGATTTTTGGGTCGTAGTACTTCAAGTGTTCTGTAAAGCGCTTTGTTAGAGCTGCAGAGATCGCAAAGGTCTATAATGAATAAAGTTGTATTGTATTGTATTCCCTTTAGCGTAGCTCCATCTAGTGGATGCATAACGCAACCGCAGCCACTATTGAAGTCTCTATTCTATGCGCCTGATAACGCGGTGTGCCCCATATATGAAAACAGTTTTAAAACAGGCCATTCATTGAAGGTGCGCCTTATACTCCGAAGTGCCTTACAATGCGGAAAATAGTTTTTTTTTGTTTTTTTTTAGGTTTGTTTGTTTTGGTTTAGCTGACGGAAATTTTGGTTCATCCAGTTGTTCATTTGCTTTAGACGGCGACCCGACGCGTGCAACTGAACTGCTGTCATTTGGAGGGATGAATAAATACGGCTGCGTGTCAGCTGCATAGCCAAAAGGTAGGAAGTCAGCGCTCGACAGAATGTAACGTGCTGCCCGCAGCATTGTTGCTACATTTGTATGACAAGGTGGTCGTCGGATTCAAGTGATATGGACGCATTACATTTGCTGATGTCAAAACGGATCCGCTGGCCGGAAGGAACTAATGCGCGAGCTGAAAGGAGCTAATAGGAACGAATGTGCGGGCTGAAAGGAGCTAACTAACCGTACCGAAGGTCAAGCGGCCTTTTGCTATAATTTATTACGTAAGACTGAGTGATTTTTTTTTTATATTGCAATTGACAAATACACTATACAGTATATTTAAAAAAAAAAGAAAACTATTAAAAAAAACCAAACCTGCTCTTAAAAACTAATTGAAACGATTACATGAGTCAAAATGAAATCATAACTCACTATCGTGAAAAAAAAAATTTTGAAAACCGGTTCAACGCTGATGCCAATTCAAACTGAACCAGAAATTTTATCCCAATCATGGATCTGATTCAGTTTTGCAGAAGCCAAGTGGGGGATTGCTTCGGCGGAAAAAGAAAATGAACAGCAAATCACAACTTCTTGTGTGGCTCCACGCCGTGCCGAGGGGTGGGGGTGGGGGGGGCGGCTGTAAAATATGTGTCTTGGATGAGGAAAGGATGGAAAGCAGCAAGTGTAGATGACAGGAGCCCTTCTCGCTTCCTGTTCCCTGATTGCCATTCGTGCTAATAAACGGAGCAGTTCATTAGACGGAAGCATTATGAATCCCATTTGCATTTGCCCATATTCATATTGCATACATTAAAAACAACACACGCGTGACATTTCGGCTTCGGCAGGCATTTGAGCACGGCGATGAATATATTCATGACTCTCCTCGACCCCCGTCCCCTCAGCTCACTTTCATCCCAAAAAAAGAGAAAAATCACATTATAAAATATGATTCGCAGGTGAGCGGGCACACGTGTTTGCCTTTTGTGGTTTGCGTCAGCACCGCCATTTATACAATAGCGCGACGTCATGCAAAACAACAACAAAACAAAAAAAGAAAGGCAAAGCGGGATGGCATTCGACTGTCCGTTTCCAGACTTCAAGTAAACGTAAAACAAAGAGAATCACATGGTGAATATTTAAAACAGCTACAGAGCCTACGCTAACTTAATGCTAACGTTCAAGTCAAGATTCCCACCAACTGAAATCAAGCAAAGTTTTTATCCCACAACATCGTAGCCCGTGCGATTTGAAAACCACTGTATTGGATTCTTTTCAATCTGGGGGAGGAGGGGGGGGGGTCTTTGGCTCACGCATGAGCACCAGGTCTGTTTTGACGAGGCTAGCGTGTTTTATCAAAAGTCTCGCAGATGTTACGCCAGACGTCCGATGAGCCTTCTCCGGCTCCGCTATTCCAGTGGCTCTTGTCCCGCTACGTCAACCCCCCCGCACCCCCCACCCACCACTCCCAAGCCCCCTGGGCATCTCGCTCTTTGCGATCTAACTTGCATTGTGCGCTTGGCTATGCTCGTGACGCATCATCAATCTGATTCATCCCGAGCTGCCTCGCTCTGCTGTTTGCCCTCTTTTAACTGTGTTTGTGTCCTCGTCGCGTTGGATGCGACGTATGGACGTCAGTGAGGGGCCGACGCCGGGCCGCCGCCGCGGGCTGCTGAGCTGAGCCGAGCCGAGGCGGGAGAAGCAGCGCGCAGAGGATGCAGTGGGTCACCCTGGCCGTGGCCCTGGGGTGCGCGGCGGCGGCGGGCCTGGCCCGGGCGTCGCACGGAAGCCCCACCCCTACCCCCACCTCCACGCACACCCCCCTGGTGGACAACTCCGAGGAGGAGGTGGACGAGCCCTGCTTCGAGCCGTGCACGTGCGAGGTCAAAGAAGGCGTGCTGCACGTGCACTGCGATGGGCGGGGCTTCACCAACGGCAGCCAGGTAGCCGACACGGACCAGTTTTACACGCTGATGTGGGACAGGGTCCAGGGTCAGTAATTGGCATCAATTGAAATGCAGTTAAAAGAAAAAAATCCCCCAAACACATTCAATGTGTCGCGGAGAATGGGGAAAAAAAAACAATAACACAAAAAAGATTTTTGCTATTGAAATGCAAGGGTTGTTTTATATTTTGCCTATTGAATATTTTCAAACATGGTGATCACAATATTTCATACCTTTGTAGTCTCTATTTATTTCTGTGATTCTATTTTCCATAATTACTTTTTTTGTTTTACAATATTTCTGTCTCATATTCGATATTATTTTTCTAATATTTTTCTCATAATATTTGTATGGCTGCAACTAACAATTATTTTAATAAGGGATCAGCCTGTCAATTACTTCAGCAATTAAATGATTAATCGAACAAGTTTTAATTTTTCTCTATTCAAAAACTGGGCACGATTTGAAATTGAAAGTGCAGAAAAGGCACCCCCAAAAAATTAATGATGATTTAATGAATGGCGTGTTCCGCAATACGTCAGAAAATAGGCTAAATTGTTGCTCCTTGTTCTCCAAAGTAAAAACGGCAAACTCCAGACTTAAACTCTATAGAGCATGCTTTTTTTTACCTGCTAAAGAGGAGATTGACGGGAGTAATCCTTTAAAACGTGTAGTCTTTTCGCAGGGGGGTGTGGGGGGGGGGGTCCTCGTTTTACGGCAGCCTCCATATCCAATATTTCACGGTTACAAATGGTAGGCAAATTTCTTCAAAACATCAACTGTATTTATTAATTTACCGCTGTGGTCGAGTCAGTTAGCGATAGACTACGGCATGCTGCGACCAACACACAAGTTGGGACGGAACCCCCCGCCCGCACGTGTCATGTCCTGTCCGCCCTCATTCTTGCTTCTCAGCCAGCGTCATTAATGAGATGACTCATCAAAGCACGAATGCCTCGTCCAGGTGTCACAGTCGTGGGTTCGCCCTTTCAAACTCAACCTCCAGAGGAATTCGCTGAGGCGTCTCTATAGCAACGGGTTCCAGCACCTTGGCAACGCCGTGTCGATCAACCTGGGCAACAACGCTCTGCAGGACATCCGGGTGGGCGCCTTCCACGGCTTGGCCAAGCTGCGACGCCTCTACCTTCACGAGAACAAGCTGGAGGTTTTCAGAAATGACACCTTTGCCGGATTGGAGGCTCTGGAGTACCTCCAGGTAGGCTCCTGAAAATAGTCGCCGGCGAGCAGGTGGGCCCAAGTGCTACAATCTCCCCTGGAGACTCGCCATCTCATTCTGCTTTGGAATGCCATATTGTGATTGCACAAACCATGATGGCGGATGAAGAGCTAATGTTACTTCTTGTATACGTAAGCCGTAGTGTCATCAGAGTATCATCTTACACCCCAGGACTTCCAAGCATCAATCTCGTCCTTGTCCCAAGCTAGCAGATAACCAGAGTTAGCAATTTGCGCAGACGCAGGTCACAAATCTAACGGCTGCCGATGTTGAATCGGTTTAAATTGTAAGAGACCCCCATCAGTAGGCATGTTTTGCTAGTTGAGCGGTTTTGCGCCGACCAATCGGAAAGAGAAAAATGCTAACGTCGTCGGTTGGTTAAAGAAATGCTAATATTGCTGCAATTCCACGGGCCAGCACTCCGGATTCTGAAGGCCCTCGGCAGATTAGATTGGCGCGGCAACACAGTAAGTCTGAAATCCAAGAGACCAAAAATGTGACATCCCCAAAACTGCATCGCCGCCAATCGATATTTTCTCTATTTCATGGAAGAAATATTACAATCAGGTTGTAAAACGTCAGGTCGGTGCTTCTGACGGCGTTTGAGGTAGCAAAGAAGTCCGCACTGACTCTTGAGCGCTCACGGCTGCCATCCACCCCCGCAGGCCGACTACAACGTGATTAAACGCATCGACAGCGGCGCTCTGAGGTTCCTGTACAAGCTGCGGGTTCTCATCCTCAATGACAACCTGATCCCCTTCTTGCCTGCGCATCTCTTCAGGTGACTGATCTGATTTCACGTATGAAAGGGTTTTCTGAAGCGAGCCTAGCGACAATTTGGCCCAATTTTTGCTTCTCTCCCCACCCCTGCCCCCTCAAAGTCAGCAAAGGCCCGCTTGCTCCAAAAGATAATCCTGAACAAACAGTATTATCGTATGGTGTGGGATGTGTTAAGTCGTGATCTATTTATATTTAAATATGATCATCCTGAGCCATTAGCCTGTGGTGTGGGCTGTGTTGAGTGTCTCTTGGATGATGATGATCCCGAGCAATTAAGAGGTTTTTTTTTAAAGATGATCCTGAGTGATTGTCTTGTTGTGTGGGGGTGTTAAGAGTATATATATTTTTTGTCTTCCGACATGAGTAAACTGGAGAGGAAAAAAAAAAATCACTCTCATGTGGTCAGAAAAAAAAAGAGATCTTACAGCACTGGTGTGTTACTGTTCCGCACCCAAGTCACAGTTACAGTTTTGTGTTAACACGGTGCAACTTCAATTTAACGCGAGAGTTAATGAGGACGACACCTTCAACAAACTATCCGTAACAAACATATTGAAGTGACATCACAGGAAAAGTTCCACATTGCAAGGTTGGACACAAAGTACAAACGTACGCAAACAACAGCAACGTTTTTCTTCAGAAGAACCGTTGACAGTTCGTTTGAAGTGCATTAAGATGCCCATCCTTGGTCGAGATTGCATTGCACTGCAATCTGTCCAACAGGGCTATTTTGAAAGGGCATTTCCAACGGCCAAGCACTTGTTTGTACGTGTAAACACAAAAGTACAGACATGATGCTTTTGCTACTTTGACCATGTATGTACTTTCTATAACCATAAACAGCATTGATTTGTACCGAGGGTTTAATTGTAAAGCCTGTATGGAGAACAAAAATGGTTTCCTTTTTTCTGACAGTCTAACACACACGCCACACCACAGCATAATCACCCAGGCTCATCTTTTCCAGGCATTCGACAATCGGGCTTTTGTTGACTCTGATCCCAAGTCCTGTTGCCAGTACGTGTCCCCCTTTTTAGTGTTGACTAAATGATGCATTCATCATCAGACTTTGTCAACCATCGCTGTTGGTGTTTATTAAATTCGCCCCACCCTACCTCCTCCTCGTGCTCCAGATCTGTGTCGCTGACTCATCTGGACCTGCGGGGAAACCGTCTAAAGAGTCTGGCATATGCCGGGACCCTGGAATACGTGGGTCGCTCCCTCATGGAGATCCAGCTGGAGGAGAATCCCTGGAACTGCGGCTGCGAGGCGGTGCAGCTGCAGCAGTGGCTGGGTCAGATCCCCTACACGGCTGTGGTGGGGGACGTTACCTGCGAGTATCCCTTCCATCTTCACGGCAAGGACTTGAGGGAGATCCCCCGCAAGGAGCTTTGCACCGAGCTCCCGGATAAAGACTTGCAAGCCGAAGGCGGTAGAGCCTCTGGGGGCACGCAGCCTCAACACCTACCCCCTAATTCCAAGCCCAACCCTCACCCGGGGCGGGTGAGACCGACCAAACCTTCCTCCATGGTGCACGGCTCCCGTCAGAACACGCACACCTCCTCCACGTCCTCGTCCTCTTCCGCCGAACGCAGGGACCGGGAAAAGCCGCCGCGGCCGACCAAGAGGCCTCGCCCCTCCAGGACGTCGCCCACGTCCCGCAGCCCCAACCAGAATCCTCCCGTGGCGGGCTACCAGACCAGGCCGCCCATTCCCATCATCTGCCCGCTGGGCTGCACGTGTAACCTGCACATCACCGACCTGGGCCTGACCGTCAACTGCAAGGAGAACGGCTTCCTCAACGTGTCGCAGTTGACGCCGCGACCGCTCAACGGACGCAAGCTGTACCTGAGCGGGAACTTGATCCAGAGAATCTACCGCACCGACTTCTGGAACTTTTCCAGCCTGGACCTGCTGCACTTGGGGAGCAATCGCATCTCCTACCTGCAGGAGGGGGCCTTCTCCAGCCTGACCAACCTGAGGAGCCTGTACCTGAACGGGAACAACCTGGAGAGGCTCAGCCCCGACATGTTCCTGGGGCTGCAGAATCTCAGGTAGGATGCGGTGACCGCATATCGGAAGGTTTGTTTACCAGTACGAGGGAAATTAATTTCACCGTGCCGAGAGGTTGTGCGGCGATTAGCATTTGACTGAAGCTTGATTGAAGGGGAAGGCGGCCATTCTCTCTCGCGGGGCGATCAATAGTCAGTCACGGTGCCCGGTGGCAGGCTTGGAGCTGAGGTGCGAAGCTGCTGTGAGTGACAACTCAGAAATGAACCAACGTTTGCTTTGTGCATGCATGCAAACGCCTTGATAAGGTGTCGAGATGTGTTCCTGAGGAAAACAGGATTTATTATTTTTTTGGGCGTTGTAGTTCGGGATAAATCACACTTGCTCGATTGTCATTCAAATAGGCTCGGGTGAGCTAGTAGCACGTCTGCCTCACGGTTCTGGTTCTGAATCTCAGTTCTGCATGTTCTTTATGCGCAGGGTCCGACGTTAAGCCTCAGGCACAGCACTGGCCCACATTAACGTGATATAGTATGACAGGTTTCGGTGACTGCTTCATATTTATTCATATTTCATCTTTCTACCGTTTCATATAAGATGAAAATATTTCTGTGCAGTGTTTTTTTTCCCACCCCCATTTAAAAATGCAAGAATGTAATTATCATATTGATGAAATCTCCACTGTTCTGGTCAAGCCAGCATCTGCATTATATGTGGTGGCCCAAAAAATTGGCAAATTGGCCCAGAACCGCCGGGCCAGCATTAATGTTGGACCCTAATGTGCTTTGCGACATTTCGTACCCTTGAATCGTCCATAACTTGTGAGTATATGGAAGTCTGCTGCGGTAGGCTCCAGGTCGTCGACGCCTACGATTAGGGCATATAGAAAATGGATTAATGGACGTTTGGGTGCCCTATGACTGACTGGCGACCAGTTCAAGGCGTAGTCCACTTTCTGCCCAAAGTCAGCTGGGATAGGCTTGACAGCCGCGAACCTGTTCAGGATAAGCGGTGTTGAAAATGGGATGGATTTATTGATGGACGTTCAAGTGACGCTTCTGGCAAACGTCTACGGCCACTAATTAGATTTATTCTGTTATCCATCTTTAATATTTAAAGAAGAGGAAAGACTGGACCCTGAAAAAAAACCAAAAAAAAAACAAAACAGTAGTCCTAGACTCTGGGGTGAGGAAGTGCTAATTAATTTTAAAGCAGGCCTCGTTTCAGCGGCGGAATTCTATTAACTGGCTGGCGAGCAAAGGAAAAGGATTTACTCGGGACTTGTGTTAAGTTCACTCTTAGTACCGTTATTGATTTGGAAGGGCCTTAAAGATTGATAGTGCCCCGTGTGATCGTGTAATATAACAGAGGGGTGGGCAAAATATAGGCAGCGGGCCACATTGGTCCCCGCTCCATTCTTTAATCCGGCCCGCATTTGCATGGTCAGGCGTCGTCTTCATAAAAAGGCTATTTCAAATGCTTGTTTTACATACATACATACATACATATACCTGTATATGTTTGTGTGACATATAGACATTGAGCCATGCATGCACATATATTTCTTGCCTCATCTGAGCACATGCACTTGCTCATCCCCAATCTAACACGACAATACAGCCAGCTTGTCACGTTCCCGCACACACGCACACGCGCACACATAAATTGTGTTTTGACAGCGATCAGCTCTGCGAACGGGTGAAAAGTGCCCATTAAAACAAATTCCTGCATGGTTAATTGACATCAATATTCATTTATGTAATTATAATGCTGAGAGGCAAAGAGCAGCAATTTACCCACCGCTGTTCTTACTAAACCACCCACTTCCAAACTTCATCTTTTTGTCCTTTTTTAACATTTTTTTTAGAAACATGTAATGAGTTTAATCAGGAATCACACTGATGCACACACATCACACCAAAGAATTACACACAAACACACAGACACACACTTAAACACAAACACCTACGAAATGACATACACATTCCGCAGAAAAGACAAAAACACACACACACACACACACACACACACACACACACACACACACACACACACACACACACACACACACACACACACTCCAGCAAATCCATTTTCCCAAGATGCTTCTTTAAAGCCTTCTCTCCAATTCTGCTTCAGGTACCTTTACTTTGAGTACAACGAGATCCGAGAGATGGATCGGGGCACCTTGGCCTCCATGCCTTCCCTCCAGCTCTTGTTCCTAAACGCCAACCTCTTAAGGAGTCTTCCTCTGGGCGTGTTTTCCGGAGTGAACCTGGCTCGCCTCAACCTGAGAAACAACCACTTGCTGCAGCTCCCCATGGAAGGTGTACTGGAGCATCTCACTGGCTTGGTGCAGGTTGGTTAAATGTTTTTTTGTTTTGTTTTTTTTGCTGGCATTTCAGTGCAATTGCTTGCCTACGTGAAGCATAATCGGGGGGCAAAAAATTATTCCAAGACTCCTGATAAGTCATGCAAGCCTTCAGGAAAAAAGACAATATTTCTATACATGAGATTACGGTTTTATCTTCAAGTTGGACCATTTTCATAATTTTTACAATTCTTCAAGGAGTGCAAAATATTCACAATATCACACACACAAAAAAAATAATCTCAAATCACTGGAGACTTTGGTGAACTTATGACACTATTTTGGGGCACGATTTTGGTAAACTGGTGCCGGAGCTAGTCTAGCGTGCGCCTCACTGGGCGTGGTGGTGCACAGAGCTGCCTCGCCCCCGACGCATCTGACAATATAGTCACAAAACGGAATGATCCCAAAAACACTTGAACCGAATTGTCAGTCTTGTTTTCAAAGTCAGCATATTCTTAACGACCACGTATCCTACTGTGGTCAAGATCGGACGTTGTCTAAACTCCTGCGAAATCTGGCAAGAGGCTTTTAGCAAACCATTATCTTGAGTGACAGTGGGGGGAGGGAAAAAAAACCTGCATTGGCTCACCACTGCTTATTTACGACAGACGCACACACACAAATGCGCTTAAGTATATTTACTTTACACATCAGACGACCAGATTAAAATAAACTAACACGGTCGATGCCAAGACGTCATATTTTCACAGCTTTGACGAAATGCAAAAAAAACAAGCTAGAATTTTGGACCGAGCTACTGTATTTTCGGCTAGTTCTATATTTCCGCCCCTTCAAGGCTCTGACGTCCTGGCACCGATTACGTTGATGATTATTTGAAAACAAACAAATGAGGAATAACAAGGTCTCAGGAACCAGATTTAGGAAGCGAAAGCAACTGAAAAATGTGACTGAAAATGACAAGCTTGCTTTTGGTTCATGTTGATTAACGAACGTCTCTTAAAGTGGTATCGCACTGAGCAAAGAATGCTTGCGAGTGTTTGCGCATGTAGCAGATGTTGCCCCCCCCCCCCCTCCAGGGTTCGGTAAATCTTACTAACGGTTGCAAAGGTGCTCACAAACAGTTTCTGTTGTCAACAATAAATTCTGAAATGTTCAATAACGGGCCTGAGGATGATCCTGAGTGATTATCCAGCTGGTGTGACGTGTATTCAGTCATTCATCCTCTCCCGATCTTGACGATGGCTAAAGTGAGGTACACGCGTACCGACATCCTGGCCTAATTTGACATTTTTGTGATCCCCTTTCAATTTAAAGCCCGATTATCAGATTGTTTTGGGAGTCGTCATCCACCGAGGTTGAAGAAAGCAACATGGATATTTTGACAAAGAGAGAAGCCGGGAGTGCAAATATCTGTTTTCAGATCTAAAAGTAAACATCAACAGAAAATGGATATACAGATACCTGAGAAATACCAAGACCACTTAGTGGTGTGTTGTGTTGTTCATCTGGAGTACACCAAACACGAGAAGATGCGCGGAGTCTCTCTTAATGTCTCGCTTTAGACATTAAAAATTGATATTTGTGTACAAACACGGGCGCTAGAGGCCAAAGCGTGAGCTTCACGATGGCCATACTGCGGACCTCAAGGCACCGATGCGGAAGGCGTCAGGACTGCAGGATATCCGGTGTTTGGCGAGCCATTAAAAAAAAAAAAAAAGTCTGCGGCAAGGCTCCATTTCGACACGATGCTGCTGCAGGTTGTGTTCAAAGCCGTCCGGAGAGATGAGCTGAGCGATGTGTCGGGGAGGGAACTGAGGGGATGCGCCAGTGGAGCATGGGACGCCCGGGGAGACTTCGATGCACAAGTAGCCAAAGGGACCCGGGAGACCAGGATTACGGCTCTGGAGGACTAGGGAACGCTCGGCAGAACACTAGCAGGCTGGCTTTGTTGTGGTCTCGAGGGGCTTGAAGCACAAGAGAGGGTGCCACATGCTACAAGGCTTTCCACCTTCGGATTTTGTCTTGGAAGTGAAAGCAAGGCGGTAATGAGGAAAGTATGACAGGAGCCGGGTGGAAATGAAACAAGATTCGGAAGGTTTTGCGCTTGGTTCCGGATCCTTCATCGATCACAGTCAAAAAACGTCAACAAAGCCAGGTGACTCGTTTCGGATCGGTATTCCGATACTTTTTTTTCCGGAGGGATACACGGCAAGAGACGCGAACGGGGGCGGAATTTGTGTCAACGGTCAGCTAAGAACTCGGCTAAAAATGGCTACAGCGGGGTACACTCACGACGATAATCTGTCTTAAAAATCAAACATTTTTTCTACCCCCATTTTTGTTGAAGGCATGATTATCGGATGTCCCTGAAAGATTATCGTGAGTGATTATCATGTGGTGTGGAATGTTTAAAAAGAGATTTTTACACCCATACATCTAATAGGACCTCAATTGAGCACCCCTCCTTTTGATATTTGAGATTGATCAACATTGGCTGTCCCGACAAGATTATCCTTCATGATTATGCAATTGTGTGTGTGTGTGTGTGTGGTGTGTTAAGAGGAATTTTTGCTTCATGATCTTGACAATGGCGAAAGTTTGATGCATGCATACCGATTGCCACTAAATCGAGACTTTGATGAAGGCTCCGATGATCCAATATCTCTTATCCTTAGTGATTACCTTGTGGTGTGAAGGGTGTACATAGTGATTTTTCATCTTGCTAACGGCTAACGCGAGGTACACACATGCTGTACTGATAACAGCGCCAGAATTTGTGAATTTCTGATCAAAGTCAGCAAAGGTATGATTGTCCAGTTGTTGCTGAAAGATGATCCTGAGCGATGACTCTGTTTTTTGGTATGTGTTGTGATTTTTGGGTTCTTTTACTGCCTGGTTTTGTGTACCATTAGCATCCCAGATTTGAGTATCAATGTTCATGGCGCAGCGTGCCGCGCCACTTTCTTTCCACTCAGTCTGCCTCCGATTTTACATTCCGCAGAGACGGAAATAAGCATTGCGTTAGACTCTGACATGTGGCCGCGCCAAAGTGTTGTTTGCCTCCCTCCACCATGTTTATGTCCAGGGCGCGATGAGACTTGTTTGTTCAGCCCCGTCTGCCGCAGATTCCGTATTGTGCAAGAGACAAACAAAAGCATTCCCGGGGAGCGACGCCGCTTTCCTGCCCCGTCCGTCTGCGTTGGGATTGGACCTTGTGCCGTCATGATGATTACCAATTCAGATTCCGATGTGTGGTCACGTCACAATGTAGCGACTTTTGGCTTGTCCCACTCGCATTATATATGACATGTCCCATCTGTGGATGTAACATAGTCCTTTCCATTTTCATTCGAAGCTCTATTCTCAATTGATATCAGTTGTAATATTACTGTTAACATTGTTTAATGCAAAAAAAAAATTATATATATATATATATATATATGCGCGAGAATTTCTCCGTCATCCGCGCTGCGTGTTGTCCCGAGAGCTGTGTTGGGGGCGTGCGAGACCATGGCGGCGCCTCAGGTATTATCACTGGGGAAGATTGCGAGTGAGTGGATTTGCATAAGTGCTCTTAATAAATCAGGAGAAAGACAAACCCCCTCGTCAGACTGCGGCGCTTTTGCATGTCTGACCTTGCGAATCACGTGACGAAACACAATGAAGCGAGAAAGGGCGGAGGCTGAAGTGCTAAGATATTTCACCCTCGAGGACGTCGTACGAGCGGAGATTTTCTTCGAGGTGCGGTGGGCGTGGATTAGCCTTGATGGTAGCTTTTTCCGAGGCAGGCAGGCAGGCAGGCAGACAGGCAATCGTGGGTGGGGCTTCGCAAGCTGTTTCCTTCAAGTTTGCTCAAGGCAAGGACGACAAAAGTCATCCTGTGTTCTTGATGATGTCCATGAGTGTTAATCATTCACTCCATCACCGAACCGCTGTCAGTGCTGATAAAGCCCTCCGAGGGCCCCCGCTAACTTTGTAATTCAGCCGTCGAACAAAATGCCCGAAACGCGTCAGTGGGCAGATTTAGCCCTGCCCACAAAAACCAGGAAACCTGAAATGGTGTAAAACATTACATTTGAGCATGAGGCAGTTCTCAATCTTCGTACATATTTTCAGCAATTATCTTGAAACATGTACAGTGGTCCCTTGAAATATGAGTGCCCCCGATTTACGAGTTTGGAGAGCCGAGCGCTGTATCATGGCAGCAGACACACTCATGTTAAACTTCTAATTAAGGCCCTACAGGTGTGGATATTTTTACAGTTGTGGCTAATTCAGGTATTTGGCAGAATAAAATCCCGATAACTGATTAATCAGCCAATTTACACCCCCCCCCACAAAAAAATTAAAAAATATATATCTGAAAAAAAAATATATATATATATATATAATATAAAAAGCAAAAAAAAAAACATTTTTCTACTTAGTGCAAGAAGTAAAAATCTGCTGTTTTTTGGAGAGGGTTTTTGAATGTCATTATCATTGTCTTATGTTGTAATGTATTCATGCATATTAAAAAAAAAAAAAGAAAAAGGAAAGTTTCTATCGGCCCTCCCTCAAACAATGCTGCGCTGTTAGCTCATAGCGCGTACAAAGCCGCGCGTCCGTCGCGCTCCGTCTTCGTCGGTGGTTCACTTCCTGCGCCGGGTGCTCCACATGCATTCAAAATCAGCCCATTGTCACAATCATAAGCGTGCCGAGCTTAAGAGTCTTTGCGAGCGTCAAGAACAGGATTAGACCTTAACACCCACTCAGAGACGCCATGCAAAAACACCTCCCTGCAAGCACTCTCGAAAAGACATTTAAAAAAATACTTAAAAGTCACCATCGCAAGTTTTCTCTCGAAAGAAGAAGAAAAAAAAAATATATCAAGTGATTCAGCGTTTGAGTCGAGGCCAAAAATAATTACGGTTGGAGGGGGATAAGTACTCGGTGAGCGCTCTCGCCGGTAATGACCACGTTGAATATAAACACGCGCTCCGCTGGAGTGACAATTCTACACAACGGTATGCACGGAGGCCTCC